TCATTCCCCATATAGTAAGTCCCCCATATAGTAATTCATTCCCCATATAGTAAGTCCTCCATATAGTAATTCATTCCCCATATAGTAAGTCCCCCCCCCATATAGTAATTCATCCCCCATATAGTAAGTCCTCCATATAGTAATTCATTCCCCATATAGTAAGTCCTCCATATAGTAATTCATTCCCCATATAGTAAGTCCCCCATATAGTAATTCATTCCCCATATAGTAAGTCCTCCATATAGTAATTAATTCCCCATATAGTAAGTCCCCCATATAGTAATTCATTCCCCATATAGTAAGTCCCCCCTATAGTAATTCATCCCCCATATAGTAAGTCCCCCATATAGTAAGTCCCCCCCCTGTGTCAATTCACTTACCTTTGGTCCGCGCGTTCCTCTCGTATTCCCGCGCGCGTTCTGGTCTTCAGGGAGGACTGTGAGAGGAGTTCGTCACGCTGCCCCGCCTACATCCTGGCTGCCCCGCCTACATCCTGACAGCTGCAGAGTCCTGACGTCCGAGAGGAGGGAGGGGGGCGGCCATCCGAGAGGGGGGGCGGCCATCCGAGAGGAGAGAGAGAGGAGGGGAGAGGAGGGAGGGGAGCGGGCGCCCGGCACACAGGAGAGCCGCATCTAAATTTGTAAAGAGCCGCGGCTTGCCGACCACTGGCCTTGCGGGAGCCTAGCTCCGCGGGCCGGATTAAAAGGTCCGCCGGGCCGTATACGGCCCGCGGGCCGTAGTTTGCCCATTGCTGAGCTAGGCGCACACACCTTCCGCTCTTTACTCCAATGATCAGTCCAGGGGTTGTAGTTTTGTTGTTTTATTTTGTTTTTGGAACTGGGATAGGGAAGGTATATAGTAGGATACTCCAAATCAAACTAGGCACAATTGAGGACAGCTTTCTCAAAGTGGAACCGTTTTGTAGCAAACTGTACAAGTCTGGAACAAAGTTCCTCTGTAGATACTGTATGTAGACTTAGTGGACAGTTGCTGTTCTGGACACCATCTGGACACTCTAGCTTACACCCAGCAGCTGACTATGTAGGTCCCAAGGGAGATTAAACAGCACAAATCCCTGCGTCCATGTAGAACAGATTGTACTCACAAGACCCTTGCTGCAGGTCACCTTCCTCCGTGATACCAAACAGGATGTGTAGATGTCCCCCTCAGTCATTTCTCAGGATTTCAGCATTCTGGTCCTCGGGTCACCCACCTGAGGCCTCCTGGCAGCATGAGCTCAATGCTCAGGGGCACCACTCCTTGTAATTGGTTGAAACTACATCCATATTCATGCTGCTGATCTGCATGGGTCACTCCTGTTCACCCAGAACCTTCCAAGGTCTCTTGAATACAGAGGAACTAATCACAGCAGGAACAGCACTGTGAGACACAGGATTTCTCACTTAAAGCAGATTTCCAGTTGAATAAAAAAAAAAATGAAAGTCAACAGCTACAAAAACTGTTGCTGCTGACTTTTAAAATACAGGGACTTACCTCTGCCTCGGTTTAGTGGTGTCCTCACCACGTCTGGTTTCACCGGCCGTCTTCTCTCCCCAGCGACGGCATCTTCAGTGTGGGCACCTGGCTGTGACAACTTGCTTCGCAACTAAAGGCTCACTGTGCATGTGCGAGTAGTGCTGCCCTTTGTGAATGGTCCTGTCACTTGTCCCAGAAGACTATGGGAAGGGAAGGGCGAGGACACCTTTTACTGCCGATCGTCTTAGGCAATCGCTCCGGAAGTGGGAACGGGTACTTGTCAAATTCAGGTACCCGCTCCTCAAAGTTGCCAATCTTTAACAAGCAGGGGACAAAACCTTAAAGCAGAACTTCCACTTTAACAATTGTAGTTTTCTGTTAAGCATGTTTTGCCTATCAGTCTCCTGTTAAGCAGGAGACCACACTATACTAAACTATATACATCCTAGCAACCTACCTAGGAGGGTGCTACAATAACATTGCTGGATGGGTTTGAAATCAATATATATACATAGCTGGTTGGAAGGATAGCATAATTTATTGTTGGTTGGGGCTGATGTTTAGATTCAGCGATGGCTGGAGATATACAGTATATACTGTATAATACATCTGGGGGCCTGTGATCAGGCATAAATATCAGTCATCATTCATAATATATTACTCATCAGAGGGATATGATAATATATTTCTGCCTAGGAAGAATGATATATTACTTGATGGGGTAAAATCATTTGATATTGCTCATTGGGGTGATATCTTAACTTATGGCTGGCAGGGAATAATATATCTTGGTGTTTGATATGGAATACATTGTTGAGTGATGTGATGGTAAAATACATTTTTGGCCAGGATGGTATCCTAATATAGTACTGGCTGGAGAAGGATATCATAACTCTCTGTTGGACTGACATTAAAATACACTGATGGTTGGAGTGATTTGTTAATGTATTGCTGGACTGGGTATTACCATTATATACTTCTAGCAAGGGAGATGTAATATATTGCTGGCTTAGGGGATATCTTATGATGATATCATAATATATACTGCTGGCTCGAGGATATCATAATGCATTGAGTGGTGGTGGGATTTATTATGACTTGGGGTGGTGAATGCAAAATAATGTGTTGTATACTGCAGGCTGGGTGGATAGCATAATGTAATGGTGGCTAGGGCATGTATTTAGACTGTCATATTTTTTTCTCCTACAGTTAAATGGAAATATAAAATATTTATAAAATTCAAGGTGTATTTTTTCAAGTCATTGTAAAGAAATTCTGTATTACAGTGTTATTGTGAATATCCCTATGAACTATAATTTTTCTAGCTTATGGTTCTATATTCTTGAATTCTGCTTAAAAAGAATGTCCAACTTTCTCTTATGGCAGTTGCCAGATCAGCTTTGCAGGTTGGAGCCTTGTCATGGACCATTTTCTTTCATTACCACCATAGATTTTCAATAGGATTGAGGGCTGGACTATTTGCAGGCCATGCCATTAACATTATATGTCTTATAAGTTAATGCACTAGCTTGGTGCGCTTTTTTTTAAATTTTATAATTACCCAAAAAGTACCAGGTTGGTGTTTTTATAAAGAACAGTTTTGGTTTTTTTTGTGAAGCTGCCATGCTAAAATTCAACAACTGACAGGAAGAGCAGTGGGAGCAGAGGATTGACAACCATTCCCTCCTAGCAGATACTGGAATGACTTGCAGAAGCTGACAACAAACAAGTAGGCAGTGCTGGGCTTTCGTATTTGTCATCCTGCGTAGTCCTGTTTCCATCCTAGTAATACAGTTTGTCCTCTTCTCCGAGGACAGCACTGTTCACCTTTTTATACCATCTTCGGGTCTTTGACAATCTGACACAATAAATAAACTTAATTTCAGAAAACAATAGACTGATAAGTTTCTTTAGTAAGTTTTTCCCGTTATTTTTTTTTAACTCGAAAATTAAACATTGGAATTATCTTGTAACCTAAGGAAAGATGATTTACTTGTGTTTTGAATGGGCTTCAGCTGTGATAAAAAATGTGAATGGTTTCTGTAATTGCAAATTTTGATTCAAACATCATTTTGTAAGCATGTGCTAAGAGCGTTTACCATTAGGACACCGGAGAAAAGCAGCTAAAAAGGTGACTTTAGAGAAACATGTCAATAACAAATGATAAATCTGCCATTTAAAGCAGCGATAACCACATAACATTAGTTAAAGTATATCTAAACCCAAAAACGTTAACATAATTCAGCTCATTGAACCTTAGATTTGGTGGCTACATTGTTTTTTTCCTTTATTTTCACTTGGTGATATGGCCAGCAACATAGTTCCTCTCTTAGGGTGTCTCCACCAGTAGATTCAGATGGACTTTACATAAAGCTGGATATGCATGGAGTCAAAATTGTCCAGTTTAGTGGGGACTTGCTGTGTGTGTAGCCCTTCCAGTTTAATAGAAACTGATCACTAGATTGGGTTCTGTCTAACTGTCCTGTTGGAAATGGTCCTCCAGTCAGCGGTTTGCAGCCAATAGCTGCTTTGCTGATCAATGTATTTTGACAGAATATAATTGCACAGCGGGTTCATCCAACATTCACATACTTTCACTCACAATTTACCCATTTTCATATAATTTTTAATTAAAAAAAATGGGTGAATCTTAGGTCAAAGTTGTGTAACTCTTGGGTGGACACATTGATGAAAAGTCTTCTTAGTGTTTTGAAACTTATGAACACTAGTGTATATTACACTGATACTGTGTAGAATGGAAAGCTCTGGATGGAACCCAGCAGGTCTACCTACTATGGCCTGCAGAAACTTCAAGATAGATGATACAAGTCCAGTCACCCTGCACAAGGAGAGACAGTAGAAGTGACACTTGTGTACATCAGTGTCTTTATTTTTTTAAGTTATTGGTGCCCATGCTGACCAGGTGATCTCCTGTGTTCACAATGAAGCAAGGCATTCGCTCAGCAGAGAACCTATAAGCAAGTGGAGTTCACTGTAGTTGTGGAGCCTAATACAGTGATTTCTAGCTACCACGAGAACTCACGGGTATGGTACATGCATACTTATATTGGTCTGAGTTGAACTAATGTAACTGTAAAATTATCCATACCTGCAATTCATCTTTAAGTAAGAATACACATGCCTCCAGTATTTAGGCAACATTTGTTTAACTTGTAATTCAGCTTTAAGGTGGCATTCCTACTTTACTGTCAGAGAGTTTCTAAATACCCATTATTATAGTAACAGATCATTTTTAAAATGTTTGATAACATTTTCTTTTATCATTATAATAAATGAATTATAAAATAACAATGACTGGTACAGGCAGACTTACAAATGACTGAAACAACTCACAAATGTGCCCAAATCTTACATCCTTCCTACATTTTAGTTATTTCCATAGTTCAGCTATTCATCCCATGAAAAAAGAAGACTCCACAAAGCAGTAAAACATCACAAATATATGACATTTATTTCCAAAAGAAAAAATTGATATGTAAATCCTGAAGAGACACTCAAATCATTTATACATCAACTTGATTTTTAGCTAGTGATCTTTTGCTGCAAATTGGTCGAGGTAATAAGAGCTGTAACATGATATCAGCAATGAAGGCAGGAGCATAAGACAAAGGAAGCCAGAATAATTTGGCATCCCACCCGGCGCCATACCGCGTCCGTGGGTACCTGGCTATCAGAGCATGTTCCATGCAGTTTGTGACTTTGGAGATATCAGTACTGCAGAGCGTCTTCATAGATAATCTCTGTACTTTCAAATCTAAGACAAAAAAAAAAAAAAAATTTGAGTGTTGAAATAGATTGAATTCTGTTAGTTATCCTGCTGAGAGATGGATGTAGATGGAATTCTTGTATAAAGAGCCTTGTTGACATTTATTTTGCTCAGCAGCTCTCTTTGGCACACTACACCAATATACAGTTCTCAGACTCCTCAGCAACTGCACCTCTGGGTTACAGCTCATGAATTTAACTTTGTCGCTTTCTCCTCCTCCCTGTGCATTCTGTTGCTCAGAAGTGCATCCACCAAGGAATCTGGCTGTATACCGATGTAGCATACATATTGTGAGTGTCACTAATTGTTTTTATTTATATTTTTTCAATACATGGATTATGTGGTAAAGATTTGACTTTCTTTTTTACAGAACACCTATAGGGGAAAACGGCAGCAGAGGTGAACTTGGAGGAGATTTCTGGCTTATTCAACCCACTTAATATAAAAGGGTCGTTATTTGGATAAAAAAAGTTAAACAGAACTAGCACTCCCTGTCAAAAATGAGCATCTTTACTCACGGAATATGTGTGTAATTTCATTACAACTGCCCTCCAGAAATTATGCTAACATATATATATATATATATATATATATATATATATATATATATACACACCGTATATGCTGGCAGTTACTGGAGGATGAAGGAATTGATACCACTGAATGGCTCCCACGCTCACCTGACCTAAATCCAATTGAACACCTCTGGGATATCATGTTTCGGTCCATCTGACGCCACCAGGTTGCACCTCAGACTGTCCAGGAGCTCAGTGATGTCCTGGTCCAGATCTGGGAGGAAATACCCCAGGGCACCATCCGTCGTCTCATTAGGCGCATGCCCCAACCTTGTGAGGCATGCATACAAGCATGTGGGAGCCATACAAATTACTGAGTACCATTTTGAGTTGCTACAGTGACATTTCAGCAAAATGGACTAGCCTGCTGCATCAATTTTTCACTTTGATTTTCGGGGGGGCCTTTGAATTCAGTCCTCTGCAGGTTGATAATTTTCATTCCCATCAAACAATGGGGCATCCTTATGTTCCTAACACATTACCCAGTCAATATCTGTATATATATCCAGCATGATATTTTTCCCCATTGAAATCTGATGTATTTTCAAAGTGTTCCTTTATTTATTTTTGAGCAATATATATATATATATATATATATACAGTTGCAAGAAAAAGTATGTGAACCCCTTGGGATTACGTGGAGTTTTGCATGAATTGGGCATAAAATGTGCTCTGAACATCATCTAAGCCACAACAATAGAAGAACACAGTCTGCTGAACATAATACTACACAAACATTAGATGTTGCCATGGTTTAATTGCACATAATATGTAAAAATTCACAGTGCAGGGAGGAAAAAGTATGTGAACCTTTGGACTTAATAACAGTTTGACCCTCCTTTGGCAGCAATAACCTCAACCAAACGTTTCCTGTAGTTGCAGATCAGACCTGCACAACGATCTGGAGTCATTTTGGACCACTCCTCTTCACAAAACTGTTTCAGTGTAGCAATATTCTTGGGATGTCTGGTGTGAATCGCTCTCTTAAGGTCATGCCACAGCATTTCAATCGGGTTGAGGTCAGGACTCTGACTGGGCCACTCCAGAAGGCGTATTCTGTGCTGTTGCAGCCACTGTTTTGTTGAATTACTTGTATGCTTTGGGTCATTGTCCTGTTGCATCACCCATCCTCTACGGAGCTTCAGTTGGCAGACAGATGGTCGTACGTTTTCCTGCAAAATGTCTTGATAAAAACTCTGGAATTCATTTTCCCATTAATGACAACAATCCGTCCAGGCCCTGAGGCAGCAAAGCAGCCCCAAACCACGATGCTCCCTCCGCCATGTTTCACAGTGGGGATGAGGTTTTGATGTTGGTGTGCTGTGCCTTTTTTTCTCCACACATAGTGTTGTGTGTTCTTCCCAAACAACTCAATCTTGGTTTCATCTGTCCACAGTGTATTTTGCCAGTAGTGCTGTGGAACATCCAGGTGCTCTTTTGCAAACTTCAAACGTGCTATAATATTCCTTTTGGACAGCAATGGCTTCCTCCGTGGTGTCCTCCCATGTACTCCATTCTTGTTTAATGTTTTCCTTATTGTAGATGTGTCAACAAAAATGTTAGCATGTGCCAGAGATTTCTGTAGGTCTTTAGCTGACACTCTGGGATTCTTCTTTACCTCATGCAGCATTCTGCACTGTGCTCTTGCAGTCATTTTTACAGGACAACCACACCTAGGGAGAGTAGCAACAGTGCTAAACTTTCTCCATTTGTAGACAGTCTGTCTTACTGTGGACACATGAACATCAAGGCTTTTGGAGATACTTTTGTAACCCTTTCCAGCTTCATGCAAGTCAACAATTATTGATCGTAGGTCTTCTGAGAGCTCTTTTCTGCGAGGCATGGCTCACATCAGACAGTACTTCTTGAAACCAGTAAACCCAAAGCAGGTGTGTGTTTTTTAAGGGCAGGACAGCTGTCAGCAACACATCCAATATCATCACACTGATTGGAGTCAAGGTTGGCTCACTCCTGGCTCCAATTAGCTCTGGGAGAAGTCATTAAGCTAGGGGTTTACATACTTTTTCCTCCCTGCACTGTGAATGTTTACATGTTATGTGCAATTAAACCATGGCAACATCTAATGTTTGTGTAGTATTATGTTCAGCAGACTGTGTTCTTCTATTGTTGTGACTTAGATGACGTTCAGAGCACATTTTATGCCCAATTCATGCAAAACTCCACGTAATCCCAAGGGGTTCACATACTTTTTCTTGCAACTGTATATGGGAGTCTTCAAAAAGTTTCTACACTTTTATAACTATATTTATTAAAAATTTCAAATACAAAAGTGACAACTCTTATACTAAAATTAAAGGAACCCTTTTTATATATATATATATATATATATATATATATATATATATATATATATATATATATATATATATATGAAAAGGGGTTCCTTTAATTTTTTTGAGCAGTATATATATACACATGGAGGACTTTGAAGTTAGGCAAGTCACCTGAATATTTCTTATTTTAGATTTGTGGTTTCCTGTCCAAAATGACAAATCTCTTGTCAAGAATGACAGTTTATAATTTAAATCTCCATTTAGCTCAGAGTTTCCTTTCAGTAAAAGTTTATTACAAAAGCTGATATTTTCTACTGGTGATCCAATTAATTTAAACATGAACATGGCAAACTTCATTTTGTTATCCAGTACAAAATAATTACTTACAATTCTGAAAGTACTTATCTCCATATGAACATCTGATATCTGGAGTCAGCCTATCCCATAATCTGTGCAGATCCTTTTCTATTATTTCAAGGCTGGTTACTCCAGTCTTAAAGAAGCCAGGTTCAATAATACTGACTTTCACCCCAAAGTGCTGCATGTCCCTCCTAAAATAAGGAGAAAAGGAAAGAGTTGACAGCTGAGTATTATGTATGTTCCAGGCACATGGTTGTGCTCCATGTATCTATATGTAAATAGGCATGTGTGTCTATTGAAGGTAAAAAGGATTAATTGGCCATATTGTTTGTGGCCATATTGTTTGTAAATCTTAGACTTCAACTGACAGGTTAACATATATATACCAAGAAATGTATTAGAACTCTGTATAGTACAGTATGGCATCCATTTACCTTAAGCACAGCCCCAATTCTTCATGGCATTCATTTAAAAAAAGTTCCTGCGGATTTGACAGCTTCTACCAGAATTATTCAATGATATTGTATCATCTAGATTGGATTACTGGAACCACCTTTACTATGGAATCTCTGTGAAGGAACATCATTTGCTGCTGTTATATAATGCAGCAGCCTGGCTATTCACCCCAATGCCATGACAAGGTTTTCCAGTGCCCAGGGAAAAGATGCCCCCCGGGTCATGATGTGTGAGCTCAGAGGATCTGCTTAGGTGGTGTGCAACGCACACCTCCTCCTGGCTCTGTCCTTGCTGTTCCCAGTGTTAGGCCAACAGAAGTAGTGATGCCACTATCACTACTCCTGTCAGCCTTGTAATAGAAGGAACTCAGCACAAGGTGCCCCATCGCTACAATAAGCCATTGCGCCCAGGGCGGCTGCTCCTCCTGCCCATTCCTTGTCTTGGCCTTGACTCACCCACTAAAGAAAATAGCTATAGAAATATTTTTTTTCCTTTTATTATTGCCACATCCCAAATATTTAGTTTGATTCAGATGGCTGTGTGACTTGGCAGAAATCAAGATTCTGCAGAGCAAGATACAATTTTGGTGAGCCTGTGCCCACTCCAGCCTTAGCTTTCTGTTCTCAGCTGTCAGCAGTGCAACCCAACATAGTCTTCTGCTGTTGCAGCCCATATGTCTCAAAGCTGGATGTGTGGTGTATTCTGAGAAGTTTTTTTTTGCTCACAACAGTTGTAACGTCATTATCTCCTTTGTTTATTCCAAACCAGTCTGGCCATTTTCCTCTGAACTATATCATCAACAAAGAATTTTCTTCAAAGAACTGGCACTTACTGGAGGTTTATGTTTGTTTCCACATGGAACCAACATTACGTCTGACAACAGGTTTATCTGTTACTACTACCGGGCACTCATAATTCAATTATATTTTAGGGTTCACTTTCTCTAATTTAAGGCACTGTTCTAAGGGAAGCCCCATCCCAGGACAAGCCTCTCATACTCGTAGGTAGTGTCCAGGCCACTGCTTTGGAGTTGCACCATGAGGCCTAGGCCACCCATTAGCAGAAAAGAGACAGGAAAACACACACACTCCACAATTGTAGGACATATAGTAGCAGATCAACTACCTCTAATTCCAGCACTTAACTCTCTTTTTACTTTACTCTCCTAAGGGGAAACCCTTCCCGTAAAAGGCCACTCAAACTGAAAGATTAAATAGTCGGTTCTCCATTACAGAGTATAATTTTTCTTCATGGAAAATCCAGTGTCCATAGTCTGTATATTGGAATCTTGCTCATCAAAGGGAAGTCTTCCTCCCTAACTGGAGGAAGACTTCCTCCAAAGAAAAGAGCCTCTGCTGATAAGCTATGGTGGTAGGCTTGGGGCCAAAATTGTGTAAACACCCCTTGCATTCCTGATACTTTTTCAGGGATCAGAAGTCTAAGTTACACCATAATCTATTCCATTAGAGAAAATAAGTGTGAGGTAGTTTTTTTCCTGACCTGACAGAGCATCACATCAACACAAATGACATTTGAAGCATAAATCATTCCTGCTGAGCTATTGTACTCTGACCCTGTGGACTCCCCCCATTCACTGCAAGCACTGATCAAATGCTGGTTTTCCAACAAGACCATTTGACAGAAGCAGATAAACTCTCTTCTGTTGAACAGACAGTGGTATACATGTGCAGAAAGTCGGATGGTTTCTGTTGAATTGGCCAACTTTCAGTATGTGTGTGCTGGGCTTTACTAAATATTATCCCAAAATTGCATCACCCAATTTAAAAATCTTCAATGTATGCAAAAATGTTAATCTATGCAACACTGAAAAATGTTTAAAATTAAACTTATGTACAGTAATTTTTCATGATTCATAAACAAAAGCTCACGGAATTTTTAATCAGGCATGTTATTAAAATAGTCCCTATCCATACTACTGCCATGCCACCTCAACAAAGATAGAGCCATAACTAGAGCACGTCACCAGACCAAGTTGGCAATTTCATTATCAATGTTACGTTGGAGACACAACAAATAGTTGAGTATCTTTCAGTTTGGTGCTGAGTCAGTCTAACCCTACATAATAATGGTGCCCATAGACATCTGAGTTTGTAATAGCTGGCTTCACAATTGTAAGAATCAAGGCACTGGTATAGGCTGAGCAGACTCCCCAGGTCGTATTTTATGAGAACCATAGCAATCAGCTGGGAAAATCCAACCAAATCTATCAAACAGAAAGAGGATGTCTGCAGAGATCTGGCATTACTATCAACATGTAGTTATTCTCACTTTTAGTTTACCTGGCCAAATTAGCTGAGAACAGTTCCTTTGGTTTTCTTAACCTATATCCAACCTTAGTTTTGCTAGGCATTGGTTGGATATCAATAGCTGACTCCTTCTAATAGTGTTGTACAGTAATAATAATATGATCAAAAGATTAGAGGAGCATATGGGATCATGCCATGACTTACCTCAAACTGTCTGAGAATGACTCAACACCGCACTTTGACAGGCTGTAGCCACCTCCTCCAAAGGCCAATCTTCCCATGACACTGGCTACATTGACAATTCTTCCTCTGGCCTTTTTTAAAAGAGGTAAAAACTTCAAAGTGACTTCAATGAGTCCAATGAGGTTTACATCGAGAACTCGATGAAAGTCTTCCATATCTAGCCAGTCTGTGGGTCCAATTGGAGTGGCTCTACCAGCATTATTAACCAAACCGTACAAACCTACATGAGAAAATAATTACACAATTATACTAAGCATGTTATTACCGTGCCGTTTAGTGTAATTTTGTTATCCATTATAAACCATTAAAGTATTTGTCCAGCCAAAACTTTTTTTTTTCTTGTTTTTAATGGGGTGGGAAAGGTTTGGAACTCCTAGAATATTTTACTGCTATCTGAGGCTTTGTTTTAGAGATTTCACCTCACTTCCTGCTCTGTTGACAAGGTTTTACCAGACAGGAAGTGAGTGTAAGTCTCCAATGACAACATAGATAGGAAAAAAAAAATGATTTTTTTTCAGTAGAGTAGGGGAAGGTTAGATTACATGTCAGCTATTTATTGCTGTCTGTGTCCTTTTTGCAGATTTTCCCTTACTTCCTTTCTGGGGAAACTGTTGTCAGTACAACAGTGAGGGAAAAAGTTGGATACCAGTAAAGCCCAATATCTAACTATTCCCCACTTTATCCAAAACATAAAAAAAAGTGTTCTTTTTTATATCAGGCCTCAACTTTTTTTTTTCGTTTGTAGTTTTGAATAAAGTAGAAAAGGTTTTACCATGATATTTTAGTCCAGATACAAGTCTATCCCAAAGTAAATGAGATAAAATCTGTACAAAAAGCCAACACATTTCAGGGACTAATCCTTGCCCCCCTTTTTCAGAGATGGGAAAGTAACACAAAATATATCCATAAATATAACTCATAATTAAATTTGGTATATGAATCTGAAATGTAAAATTAAGTAACACAGATTGAAGTCCAAGATAATATTGTAATAGTAAAACACCAAAAATGAGTTCCACGTAATAATCTCAAATCAGGAGTGATAAGAATGTTTAACATGATTAAACTATAAAATAGTAGATTTATTTGAAAGTGCATAGTAAGAGGTAAACGTGTACCTTTCAGAATTGACTAAATGTAATAAATGTATAAAAATTGAACTTCATAAATTCATAAAATAAATGAAATAAAATCATGGAGCAATGTCAATTAATGTCTTAACATATGGAGTAAAATAATGTTGTAATAACCAGTTCCCAGGCATATGTTTAAGGGTGGAGGGCTTCGTTTGATAGGCAAGTCTGCCAAAATGTGCTAATTTGCGATACATACTAGTACATTATGGCATAAACCTCATTGGGGCCCATTAAAAAAAAAAAAATAGTGGTGTTTCATTTTGTCTTTGTGTTAAGCATTTTTAAATTGATGTCTATATCTCATTTCCTGTCCCAGGTGACAACATTCAACTTCTGAACTTGGAAACAGTTTTTAAATACCATTGATATCAGTACTTCATTTTTTCTGTATCTTTGCTTCATGCATTCCCTGGGTAGCAGAACTGAAAGAGAGGTGGGCAGTGGTATGACCCAGTGGGGAAAGAGGAAAGTATAGTGTGTTTTTATTAAGGGCATATTTTGAGTCATTACTCTAGTGGTTGTATTACATAAACTGTTGACATACCTTCCATATTTCTAACAGGTTTTGCTCTTCCATAATTTTGTTATTTGATCAAATCAAGAAATGTTAGGTAAAGCCTAGTACACATGATCAGAAAATTGTATGAAAAATGTTTTGATTTCAAAGCAATTGTATGATAATCTGATGGTTAGTACACAGCTTTCGTCCAAAATTATTAGAAGGGACAATCACCAACATTTTTCTCTTACAATACCAGATCGTACAATTTTCATTCAATCAGTACAGTTTTTGTCCAAATATATACAACATCAATACAATACAATACACTTTGGAATATTTATTCTGTGGTACAAACATTTTCGTAACTTTTGTAACCTCTTCATTTTCGATATGAGCCTAGCATGCAAAAAAAAAATAAAAAATTGATGATAATTCGTCTGATATTCTCATCGTACGTACGTGTGCTTAAGCTACTAAAGAGAACTCTCAGTGGCAATTATTCTTTCTGTTGATATAAGATATCAGCCACTTAGGGAATGCATTGTTTTCAGTGACTTGTCTGAACATAGACTTTGATTGCAAAACCATTGCGCAATGCTGCAAAGCAGGAAACAGAACATGCAGATATAAAGTGCTAAAATATGCCCATCCCCTTGTACATAAAAATATCATAAAGCAGGCAAGACATGTAAACCAGATGCAAAAAGAATGACTTGAAAGTAGGCAGTGCATTCAATGCAGCATGCAGTAGATTGACTGCATGTCAGTCAATGGCAGGCATAAAAAGTGCACAGTTCTGGAGACTTGAGATGTAAAACAAATTCTAGATATGAATCAATAACAAGGCAGTAGACAAAGTGTACAATTCAGAAGATATAAACAAGATACCCTGCACTGGTCAATTTCAAGGGCACCTAGAATTCAGCAGCTGGGAGAAGTCAATCATATACCTCCCATGGATCAATACCAGGATGGTACAGTGAGTACAATTAGGCAGAGACGAACTTGTAACTGGATATCAGGAATAGGTAAATAAAGCAGACATTACGTATGTACAGGCAGATAGTTTGTTGAATAGATGCATGCTGATGATGGTTTTAGACAAATGCACAGAGTGATGGAATCTTATTTGGTTGAGAAAGCCCCACACTTTCCTAACTATCCATACAACTTTTCTTTAACTACTTAAAGGAGAAGTATGGCCAAAGCTCTTTTGTAGATACTTCTCCTGTGGGTCAAAATAGTGCACTTCGTTCTGCACACCTGTGACCCAGATTCAGCGGACAGAAAGCTAAAGTCTGTCAATTGACATCACAGAGCTGGTCCAGGCTTTGCAGGGATCCCGACAATAATGTCGGGAATTGCCGAGATGCCTGATCGGCAGCTGGATCAGAATTTCAGCAAGCTGCTGAGAGCGGCTCCCACCTCCTCCACAGCCACAGTGAGCGCTGGAGGGGCAGAACACAGAGAGATGACTGACAGTGATTAGAGTTGATCCAAGAACTGAGTGATCAGCGGTCTTTGATTGTTTGCTTCTTGGTGTAGAGGTAGCCGGGGGCAACTGCAGCATCAAATCTATGCTGCAGCCAACTAGGTGAGTATAAATTTTTGTTTTTTTTTTTCTTAATTTCCTGCACTTCTCTTTTAATGAGGACTTCATTGTAATGTAAAGAACAACTCCATCTAAAAAAAGTCAGCGGGATTTAAGCTGCTCATACACCAGTAAAGTTTCTTTTGAAAAAAATAATTTTCAGAACATTTGTTTGATTTTCTAATAGTTAATGGGGTTGTATCAACCATTGTTTTTGCCTGAAGAGAAAACCCTAAGCAGAAAGATTTTTTTTCGAACAAACAAAATTCTAACTGTGAATGTGGTTTTTGCTCAGGAAAAAAAATCTAAATATTATTATATTATTATACAGTATTTATATATCGCTAAAAGGTTTGCTCAGCGCTGTACATTATAGTGGGGGACAGAACATGAGACAATACAGTAGCAAAACAATACACGAGGGGGTCAAGGGCCCTGCTCTTTCGTGTTTACAATCTAGGATTATTATTGTAATTATTGTAATTCTTTTGTGCATCCTCAAATTGAACATAGAATTTAAAACATTGGCATGGTTTTTTTTATTGTTTCCATATGAAATTTGTGGAGTCCATAATGGTACTATCAAATACATTTTTTTCTGAATTTCCATGAATTTTCAAATGCAATTCTAGAGGTGTATGGCCAGCCTTAGTGTTTCTTTACATCTCATTTTACTGCATCCTCCACTCTCAGTACAACTTGTTCAGCCATGCCTTTTCGGCCTAGCTTCATTGTCACAAGCCTTCTTCATTCTTAAAGCTTATTTCTGGGAACAAAAAATGTTCATAAAGTGTATTCCTTATTAGGTATAAATCTAATTTGTGTGCATTGCATAACTTTGAAAACCTAAATATTACCATGTAAATATAGCAGTGACAGCATTACTGTACTCAGAAATCAGAGGTAGGGAGGAGGCCCAGAAGGTTCACCCACTGCAGACTGCCTGCAGAAAACTACAGGGGCAGATACAAGACCACTCACCTTGCACAAGGAGAGAGAGCAGCAGTAACTGGTCTGTAGCACAGGAAACTCCTGTACAGAGACAGAGTGCAGGAGTTGTCTCATGGTGAGCTACTGTACAGATCTGGGAGAAATTCACAAAGGATACAGGGATACAAGTAAGAATACACATTTTTGTATTTAGACAAAAAATGTAAAGCGGTATTAAACCCAATAATATATTGCAACTTACCAATAATTAGATGTGATGGTTGCATTAGTTTTCTTTTTTAGGCCTTTTCCCCTCTGTTTTCACCTGGTGATTTGGCCAGTAACACACCTCCTGTATTAGAGTGCCCTCACTCTGGATGAAGAAGCAGAGGGGCACCTTTGGACAGTAGCATTGTTAATCTGGGGGGCGGGGAGTGTTATATGGACTAACAGATTTAGATACACTAATAAATTTAAGCTGAACTCCAGTTCATTCTCTTCAAGCAGTTACAGCAAATGTTTTTTCTTTACTTTTGCGAAAAAGATTTTACATAGATAAATAAAAGCTGATCACTGTAAGCACCCGTCAGTAGTAAATGGTTTGTCTCATCCCTGTAACTGCTACATCTGCAAAAAAGCATGTTCTTTTGAAAAACAACAGACTTACTGGTAGGATCACAAGGTGAAAATAAGGGAAAGGAAGCCTAAAAATGAAAACTAATACAGCCATTACCTCTAAGAATTGATAAGATGCAATATAATAAATTTGTTCTTTTTTTATTACCAACTTAAAGTGATTTTAAAGCTTTCGTTTTTTTTCTTTAAAAAATAACAAACATGTTATACTTACCTGTTCTGTGCAATGGTTTTGCACAGAGCAGCCCAGATCCTCTTCTTCTTGGGTCCCCTGCTGGTGCTCCTGGCTCCTCCCCCTTGACCAGTGCCCCCAATAGCAAGCTGCCTATTATGGGGGAACTGGTGTATGCTCACTCCTGAGTCCCGCTGTATACGTCCATAGGACATATAGAACAGTGGCTTGCCCCCCCCCTCTCTCTCCACAAAGGTTCACTGGCTGTGATTGACAGCAGTGGAAGCCAATGGCTACCACTGCTGCCTCAGCCAATGAGGAAAGAGAGACCTGGGACAGCCAAGGCTCTCATGCACATCGCTGGATTGAGAGGGGGCTCAGGTGAGTATTGGGATGGAGGGGGTTGTAGGGGGAACAGCACACAGAAGGTTTTTTTACCTTCATGCATAGAATGCATGAAGGTAAAAAACCTTCAGCCTTTACAACCATCTTAAGCCTGGAGTTTAGCTTTAGAGGGATCCATAATAGGACATAATAGGTAGTAGAGCATTCACGTGTCCCATTATCTCTAGTGAAATTTCCAAAAAGAATTATAGAGAAAAAACAACTAGCTTGGCTGAAAATATGAAGTCGGTCTTCCACAGTGGCAGAAGAAGAGTTGCGATATTACAACAGCTGTCTATTAACAATGCTATGCCCAGACACCATAGAAAAATGTATTTTGGGTGAAGTTTCATTTTGGCACTTAGGAAATATATAGTACCTTTATTGCCTGTCTCCGCAGTGACATATTCCACGGCACTGTCGATGCTTTTCGGATTGGTTACATTCAATAAAACTGTTTTCAGTGTCGGAGATGTGCACGCTTTTAAGTCCTGACATCCTTTTTCTGTCAGACAGGCAGCGATGACGATAAATCCTTTTCTATGAAGTCTCTGCGCCAGTAAATTTCCAAAGCCAGAGTCACAGCCGGTGATGAAGACGTGTTTTTCAGGAATATCTTTCATTTTCACACTGTCTCTAATGGTCCAGCAAACAAATAACACTACGATGGAGGTCACAGTGCCCATCAATGCTGGATGAACAATCCATAGCTACAAGAGAATAATGTGCGCATCAGCTACTTTATCCATCAAGACAAATTCTAATAGCTAATTTGTGGCATTAAAGCTGCTAGCTGTTTTGTTGAATAGGCTGTATTTGTTATAGTTACCTCTTTAAATCTTTCAAGCAAATCTTCTTGTTCTTCTTCTCCCTGCTGAAATGACAGAAAAAAAGATAATTACTTGGCTAGTCATATAAAAGTTCCTTTTTATACAAATTGGGGGTATTAGACTTGCTTTATTTGATGTCACAAGCCTTCAGGGTCAGGTGGGTGATTCTTTTTTTTACACTATATGGTCAAATGTTTGTGAATCCCTGACTGTCACACCCATATGAGCTTGTGAGACATCCCATTCAAAAACAATACACAACAATAAAGCGAAGCTAAATCAGAAAGGATTCTCCAAAGTTTTTTGTCATTATGTGCAAGTACCACCTTTTCACTTTAGGGCAGACTAACCTCATATAGTGCCCTGCTTCAGTGGTGTGATGTTTGAATTCCCCCTTGTAATTTCACCATCACTAGACATGTGCAGGGGTGGACTGATCATTTGGAAACTCGGGTACTGCCCGAGGGCCCGGGGTCAGTAGGGGGCCCCATGAGATGCCCCTGGTACCTTTTTCATAGGCTTTTTTGAGTTTGGGCAAGGACACAGGGGCCCCATGATCCCCTATTGCCCAGGGGCCCCATGAGTTGTCAGTCCGCCCCTGGACCTGTGCAATTCGTTTCATTATCAATCAAAATTCAGATCAAATTTTAGTTATTCGGAGATTCAGATGCAACCAAATTTCTGAATCACAATAGTAACAAATTTCAATGAATCTGAAATAAATGATAATGAAACAAATGATCTGAAATCGAATTTGAAAATGAATTCAAATTCAAAACTGAATTTGAAATCCAAAAATGTATTTGAATTCGAAATTGAAACATATTGCTATAAATACAGTAAGGCATAAAAGTGAAATGAGATGATGATTCCAATTTAGGCTGCTTTATAGAAAAGAATACAATAGAAAATAAAAGGATAAAATAGAATGGAAAAGAATAGAATGGAAAAAAAATAGAATAGAACAGTACAAAATAGAATGGGTTAGAATAAAATTGGACAAATGTAGCCGTCTTCCAAAAATCAAATTTCGTATTTCAAATTTTGAATCCATTTGAAAATAACAACTATACAAACTGAAACCAAATATACAAAACATTCCAAAAAGGAACAATTCTAACATAATGAATATGATGGAAAAAAATATTAACTTAATGAACTAATCTAAAACAAAATAAAACAAATGTTTCCATCGTGCACAATTCTAAACGTCTCCACTTTCATTTTCCCCCAGTTTTATTTTCACGTCCTTGGAGTCCTTGGCCTTCTTGATTGGCCAGCCAAGGTTGATGTAACTTTCAAACAATCATTCAGAAGTTACTTTGATGCAGCCCTCATGGCATGTCAAGACTACATTGAGCTGCACACATGTGGCTTAGTGAAATATTATACAAAATGCTAGAAAGTAGGGAAGAAGCATTTACAGAGCTGCTTCTGACATACGGAACTACCCATTAGCATTTAAGTTTTAATATGGAGTTACCTTTCCCCTAAAACCTTCACTCTTCTGGGTAGACTTTTCCCAAGATTTTGGAGCATTTCTGTGGGAATCAGTACCCAATGAATATTTATTCAAGAACATTTGTGAGGTCAGGTACTGATGTTGGATGAGAAGACATGACTCCCAATCAAGGTCAGGGATCTGTGCATGCCACTACTTGAGCTGCTCCACACCAAACTTGTCAAACCTTGCTTTAATGGCGTCAGTTTTGTTCACAGTTTTTGGAACAAAAAATAACTGCATACTTTTGGCCTCAAAATGTGTGTGTAAGTGAACTGCCAGAGACAATCTGCAGCTCAGCTTTGATCTCCATTTCAAGAAAGAAAATAGAAAACACTAAACACTCCTGAATGGCTGTATATGAGCGCTTTTTTTTTCCTGCCAAAAGAGCTGGAGTTTTATTAAGCCCAGTGTGCATGAACCCTTATTGTAATAAAATTATTTGACATTCAACATTTTGGTGTGGAGCTACCTGCCTCCATGTAACAGTGCTGGGCCAATAATCAAGCACCTGTTTTATCAGATGGAATAAGTCACATGCTCCTTCACACCCTAAGTTCTGACTACTACTGAGTATTCTCTTTGCTCCTGATGGCTGTACGTAGCAGTGGTTGTGGGATAAGAAAAGGTAAATATGTATTGCTGGGGGAAGGGCTATAAAACATTCCTGTTTCTTTGCCTTGCAGAAATCACACTTTAACAATTACACTAGTTAGCAACCCTCTAAGCTCTCAAAGTAGGAGCCGTTAGGATTCTGAATAGTCACCTGATGTCAGGATCAACCGTCACAATGCACTAGATAGAAACATTAAAGAGGAGGAGTCAATCAGGTTGAGTAACAGCATGGGAATCAGAATCCAGACTGCATAGGCTACCAGAAGCTGTACTCTAGGCCACCTCAAATTATTATTATTATTATACAGTATTTATATAGCGCCAAAGGGTATGCTCAGCACTGTACAGTAGCAGGGGGGACAGAACATGAGACAAGACAGTAACAATACAATACACAAGGGGTTCGAGGGCCCTGCTCTTTCAAGCTTACAATCTAGGAGGGAGGGGAAGGTGGTACAGGAGGGGATGGCTGTGGGGGATGGAGTGGTGGGAGGAGGGGAGGAGGTTAGTTGTAAGGTGAGGTCATGTGTTAGGTGAGGTTGGGGTAGGCTTCTCTGAAGAGGAGGGTTTTCAGGGTGCGCCTGAAGGTGAGGAGGGTAGGTGACAGTCTGATGGATTGGGGGAGGGAGTTCCAGAGGATGGGGGAAGCTCTAGAGAAGTCCTGCAATCGGGCGTGGGAGGAGGAGACCAGGAAGCTAGAGAGTAGGAGGTCCTGCGAGGAGCGGAGGGCAAATCTAGGGTATTTTGGATGCACAAAAGATAGGAATAGAGAACACATAAGGGGTTATTTACTAAAACTGGAGAGTGCAAAAATCTGGTGCAGATCTGCAAAGAAACCAATCAGCTTCCAGGTTTTATCGCCAAAGCTTCATTGAACAAGCTGAAGTTAGAAGCTGATTGGCTACCATGCACAACTGCACCAGATTCTGAGTGCACCACTTTTAGTAAATCAACCCCACAGAAACTAGTCACATATCTTAGGAAAGACTTTGTGACTATAAATAAGCAAATATAGTTCATGAAAGAGAACGTTTCTACAGTTTATCAAAATAAATCTTGGCTAGGCCTGGATGCCATTTGATTTGAAGGAATGGTATGTTACAAACGAACAAATTGCCTCCAAGTAATCACTCATGAAATATTAACAGAAAACTGATTTCATCTTTGTTCTCTGTTCATTGAACGGTGCCATAAATTCTAAAGATCTGTTGGGCAGGTGAAAAATAACAGGCTGCTGAATCTTATTCATGCATTACACATTTGACAAGTAACGCAATAAAAAACATGACCATAAAAAAATGTACGAGACAGAAGAAGCCTTGACTGAAAGTTTCAGCAAAAGTAGAGCTATTGACCATATAAGTGTATAAGGTTTTAGGTTTTCAAAAACATAGTCAGGTTGTTCACTTCAAGTAAATGTTCACTGAGCTTAGTTAATGAAGCAAAGCTGTGTTCACTTAAATCATACAATCACGTCAAGCAGAAATCTGGTTTTTCAACTTCTCCTTGCATATAATTGGGTATTCAAAGGTGAGCACAGCTTCACCTTATGTACTAGGGCAATTTTTGAGCAATAATACATCACATGATAAGACACAAAGCTGAGTGGGATGCCTTGTGGTACCCTGCATTTTAATTGCACATTAATGCATCTGGTCAGCACACCGCTATAGACGTGCTTACCACATCTACAACAAATAGGGGCATTCACAGTGCTAGCCAAATCTGACGAATATGGAAGATCTACATGGGCTGATCACCAGTACTGTGTGGGGGACAACAGAAAAGAAAGCTTGAGGGTCACATAAATGCTCTAAAATTGAATGGGAAAGTTGGTGCTAGTCCCTATATGAGACTTACCTCTGCAAATAATTTTCAATTGCATGGGTAGGTAGTGTGAATAGGAAGGCCTATTAAAGATCAACTAAGATCTGCAGACAAACACCTTTTAACCTTGGGATATCAGTAATTAATGTCCATGTGCTTTGTAGAGATTATGGCAACATGACAACACAGCAGTAGTTATCAGTGGCGCTCCCTTTTTGTTAGGGGGCTCTATGTTCTTTTCTAACAACAACGTTTGTTTATTTCAACTGAACTTGGATGGATGTGGGAAATCTCTCATTTATTTTACTTTTCACTGAAATGTGTCCATCTGTGGATCACTGTGTATAAACTGTGTGTATTTAGCATTGTGTGTGCAATCTTAAAAATGTTGGTACCATTATCTTTTGCAACTACTACAAACCAAATTTTTAAATAACTATTTTGTTTGCAACTACCGCAATCAAAACTACTGCTTCCACAGTTACTACAATAGCTACTGCTATAACTTTGGAAGAACAACCAACAACTCTAATAACTGGTATTAGCTAGTTAACAATAACTAGCTACAATAAATTATTCTCTAGTCTTTGAATAACAAACTACTAATATTGTTGCTAAGTCTACATCACTTAGTAACTCCTACTCTCTTCTATTAATTCTGCAACAACTACTGTTACTTTCACTGCTACAATTATTATTGGTACTTTGAGCATTATTGCTACTTTTACTACAACTGTTGCAACAACAACTGATAAAACAACATATTACTCCTGAAATCACCAATGCTATAACCAAACCTACTGTCACCAATGTTGGTACAACTACTACTTCTAGCAGTACCCCTACGACTCTAGCTACTATTCTCAACTTATACAGCAAAAACTACTACTCCTTTACTACTACTGTTATTCTTGCTATAAGATGTACAATTACTACAGCTGGTTTTATTCAGCTACAACTGTTATGACTAGTTACATTTTGTAAAGCACTGCACAAACTGTTGGCACTATATAAATCCTGTAAAATTTACAATTTTACAATTTGACTTACTATATAAATTGTGTTTTAATAATAATACTACCAATTAACACATAGTTAACACATTTGTCACTATTTTAACCTCTACAAAATACTATTTTTGCTACAACTACTGCTTCCACCACAGTAACACGTACATTTTTATTGTTATTACAACTAATAGCAGATTTATCACAATTCATACTTCTTGTAAATACCTAATATGCAAATTGATTCATCCATTAATGAAGATTAAGGTTAGATAGTATTTTTTACTGGTAAAGTAACAGATATATAGAACCAACCAGCAACAGGTATAGTAAGAAAATGAAAAGCAAATTATTTTATGGATATGAACAAATTTGTCTATGGAAAAAAAAGCGATAAAAGACAGACCACTTTGTATGTGCTATGATAATTTTATACAATAGAAAGTAGTAAAGTATGATTTAGCTTTAACAATGTACTTACTTTGTACAGCCACATTGTGAAA